ATTGGACGGGAGAACGCTGGGGGCTGAATCAGCTCCACGACTTTTGATCTAATTGTGCATATCGGTCGGCGCCGACGCTATCCACGGAGGTCGCAGATCGTTTAAGGCGGGATCATCCGGACGAAGATATGGAATATGCGAAGGTCTGGCGTAGGCTCTGGCTTCTGCTGGACAGCATCTGTGTAACTTCGTTGTGAACTCAACAAAACAGAGTCGTTTTCAAACGCGAGGAAGTCACGCCCGCAGGTCGCATCGAGAAGTTTTGGCAAACCGGCATGCGGCAACGCCGAGCTGTCGTAAAGCCGTAATTTCGCAGGATTGGAACTAGAATTCAAGGAGCACGCCTGCTATTATGTCATCGCCAAATCACTGGGCAACCAAGAGAGCAGTCGCCAATGGTGACCGGCCCCGTACAAATACCGGACTCGAACGAGACACCGGCGTTACTAACCAGGCTCAAGATCTATCAGACATCTTGCAACCGGTAAATGGTCAAATAGACACGTCTGTTTATCTTTCTGAAATACATACATACATACATACATACATACATACATACATACATACATACATACATACATACATACATACATACATACATACATACATACATACATACATACATACATACATACATACATACATACATACATACATACATACATACATACATACATACATACATACATACATACATACATACATACATACATACATACATACATACATACATACATACATACATACATACATACATACATACATACATACATACATACATACATACATACATACATACATACATACATACATACATACATACATACATACAAGCGACCACAGTAATCATTCTTTCGTCGCACGCACCTCAAATTTCTCACGATTTACCATTCAATCGCGAGATTCAACGATCCGTAAACTTTCTAGCATGAAAGAAAATTAATAAGCAACGATATGGATCTTTGATATATTGATTTTGGAAAAATTGCGCCAGCTTTCAGTAAAATAACAATCACAACTAACTAATTTCATAATAACGAATTTTTTAACCGGCAATAATTCATGCAGAACATCAAATTTTGTTAATTTGCCTATCTCATAGATAATATATATTCTCAGCAATTTATCCGCAAAAATCCGTGTTTAACACAGAACTAGCGTGTTGACGCATCACGTCTCATAGTCAGTGTCGATATTTAATTACCCTAAGCTACTTTACGTCTACTTATTCGTCTAGATCTTATTACTTTGTGATCGAGCATCGTTTTCACTTGAACAGTAATATTTAACTAAGGTGGAAGAGCCAACGCAGTGTCGATAAGGCCCATACGGTGTTATTAAGGTTAGTTAAAGGACGGTAAAATGCAGTATAGACGTCAGATGGTTAACGTAAACAAGAGCCGACATGCATCAACGGGCAAACAAAGTTCATGCACTATTTCGTGTGTAAATACGGACACGAAACGTGATCACACGCTGTAAAAGCATAAATGCAACGGGTTGTCATGACTAAAAAAAAGCTCACAGACATGTAAAAATTGAGTTAACATATCTCTAGGTATTGTAAGAAAGAACAATTTGGTAATATGGCCTTAGAATCGCATATACCTTATTCCTCTAGTTTCGCATTTCAAATGTAGCACCGTAATCTACAGCATACGTTGTTTAAATTTTTAAGATCACCGTAGTCGATGCTTAAGCATTTACAAAAATCAAATGATTTGCATCATACTTTCTGTGTTCTAACTTATTAGAGGATGCGTTAAAAATTGCTCATGATGTAATATCTAAGTCATGACCAAATAGAATGACATATTACCAGTCCACTCTTCTACCACTTAAGTTAGTTGTGATATGATTTGTCGAAACCATTAGTGCATGCTTTCCACCAATAATATTCGATTCCTTTGTTTGATTAATAATGTGTATGGTAGAACGGATCGAATACATTATATTTAATTTAACGTTATATTACAAGTATTGTATACATCCTTTTTGTTGAGCCCTTTCTGCTATAAACCGACTAGTGCATCCTTGTTCTAGTTATAGTGTCTTGAAGGCTAATATTGTCCCATAAAAAATTGGTTTATATTTTGATGCGTTCTTCAAAAACTTGACCTATATCTATAGACAGTCGTATTTGTGGAAATAAGTTATAGTAACATTATATATAAAAGTGCAAGAACCGTGACAAATGGACCACGGTAGTAGGAGGCGTATATCCAAATAGCTGATCACTTTCATACTTGTGTTGATAGCTGCAAGAATCGGTTTCTGGTCGAATATGCGCCATAATCTTGAAAATGATTTGCACTTGCAGTTATTTTGTCGATTTTGATACGCAACCTGTGCTTCTCGTGCTTCTCGCGTGTATAATTTTGCCAAGAGAGCGATACTGACAGCATCGTAAACAAATGTATAATTATGTTGTTTAGTCGGTTGTAGATTAAATTATTCTGTCATTCTCATTCGATAAATATTTCCAGCAAGCAAATCCATCCGACAGACACTTCATGTATCCTTTGTCGATGCTATAAACACGTTAAAATAGTTCCTTATTTACATATGTCATGATTCTAGTGCGTAGGAATGTCAGCTTGGACGGTCTTTACAATATATAATGCATACAGGCCTTTTGTCGGCAATACATTGAGCTCAACATGCTAGCCGAAGTCCGATATTTGATGGAAGCAATTTCAGCTGAGATTTTGTCATTCGAAAGCCAGTACTATCATTAAAGAGTGTAACGCGAAATATTCTCTTACGTTATCTACTGCGCATATTAGTGTATTTATGGCTGCTGGTCTTGTTTAATAAAATTACTCGGACTTTCGTATTGGTATAGCCAGCCTAACGTGTGAATAGCCTTGAGATCTTGCTTGTTATACACCCTTAAAATAGCAGGACGCTATTTCTTATACAAAAGTTTCAGCCTACAAAGACTTCTCAATAATATCACAGGACATATGAGAAATAATCAACGTCACTTGCATCAACCCTATGTCACCTCTATTATAGTCTTATTCTACATTGTTCTGGCCTCGCTGCTTTATCAGGCATAATACTGCTATTGCAGTCATCTGTGTCGTCGTCATTGATACCAGGGCATGTTTGTTGGTTGGTTTGGTGAGGTATATCCGGGTACGCGAACGACCCACTAGATCCGGTATATTCCGACCATGCTTTTTAAGAGGTAGTGGCAGGTTTTTCAGCTACTGTAAGATCATACTACGATTGTCACCCTCAGGGATTATTGTACACAGTGAGGGGACTGAACCGGCAGTTATCATCTTTTAGATTAGCCTACTGCACCACTACCCCAGGAAATCACCCCTTATACCAGGGCATGTACATATTAAGCACAAGTCAAGGTTGAGCTGCGGTGTACTAACCTTCCACCATCTTTGTTCTTTTGGAGCATCCGATAGGTTTTGGAATCAGCCCGTCGTGTTAAGCAAAGTAATGCCTTCGCTGTCAGGTTGTTTCAATACTTCCCTCGTGCTTTATGTGAGTTGCGTGCTGGAACACCTGTAACAATGCTTCTTGCTTACAAATCGGGTGTGCACGCTGTAACCACATATACCATAATAATGATAGGGACACGTTGATAAGTCAGGAGGTCAATCTAGCGAGTGCATTTAAGTTTGGTTTCGGCGTATTTGGTGATGTGAGCTACGCATATTGTAACTCATTATATTGCCTAAAAAACCAAGAACAGGACAATATCGCACAGAGATTATATTATCAAGCTGTGCGACAAGCTTGTCAACCAATCTCGCAAAGTAGTGGCTAAAAGCAGTAAATTTTTCGCATAGAAAAGCTTATTAGAGGCCCAACTACAACTGGCGATCTAGTTTTGCTTTCTACAGCACTACCTATGGCTCATCGGACTCAAGGTGTGCGAGATTTGCAACATAACTTGAGGGCAACCCTCGATTATTTTTTTTCTGGCAAGTAGTACACATTTCACCTTCCAAGTAAATTTTGATAGATATAAGCAAGTACGCATTATGTTCTGTTGTGACACCAGCTAGGTCTACACTGGATCAAAGCACATACAGTCGCATTCAGCTGGACCTTTTCAATCTCCATCGGCATTGCTGGTAAGCAAAGACCAGTAATTTTTAAAACGGTTTGTATTTCAATTGCACACGAAGGGGGGAGGGTCTTTAGCTGGCAGTCTGAGCTTGACCAAAAGTCAATCTATGCAATTCGTATATTTGCATTGACCACGTCGTCAATGGCACTATCACTCCAAGCCTTGCCTCTGTAACGGGGTCAACCCCGTCCCACGCACTTTTGTCATACGGTCACAAAAGTGTGGGTCGCTTTAGTGCAACGTTGACTAAAGTGAGGTCCTAAGTGCGCCGACGCACTCAGGCCTAGCACTTGAGTGGTTCAGCTAAGGCGTACTTACTCAAGTGTGTGTGGTACACACAAGTGTAGCCACACTGATATTGTTCTTGGTGTGAACACACAAGACATATCATTGTGACGTCAGAGCATGACGTCACGAGATGACGTCATCGATCGGAGTCATCCGCGATCTTTAGAGATCGCCACGTAGGGGCCGCGTCTCACAGGAGCGCGCGTCCAATCAATGTGTTAGTTAATAGTCAATCAGATTTATATTAAATTACATTAAATATAAATCAGTCTTACATTTACTCTCTATTGTTTGAGTGGTAGCAGGAAGTGGTTAGCACTCCGCGACACTTAGCCTAGAAGTAGTTCTTGCGAGGCCCCTCTTAAAGGGAGCCCGCACAGCAAACCCTCGCGACACGCGAGAGAAGTCGGGTTAAACCGCTTCCTCGTTGTGCGCAGAAGGTGTAGGCTGCGGTAGTGCGGAGCAGCTAAAAAGCGCCCGCCTACACTTGGTAGCACTAGTAGTCCTTCCCGCGACCCGTCTCTCTGTGAACGTGTAAGCGAGGATGAGCCTCAATGTTGATTGGGCTCAGTTTTCCCACTTATCCCAGCATCAGCGGGAGGTGGCTGAGCATATGGCTCAGGGTCTTGGTGAACAAGCCCTAGCTAATCTGCTAGGTTGCCCACCAGAGCAACATGTGCCTCAACTGGAACAGTTTGAGAAGTTTGTGCTCGGACAGCGGTTAGCAGCGTCCGAAGCACAAAGCCATGTAGTGGCTAAGTCCATCGGTAAGACTCATGATGAGCTTCTGCGCGAGCAGGCTCGAAACGAGGCTCTCAACAGAACTGTTGAGGTGCTCTCGGCCCGGTCTTCTCCACCGAGGCCCATAAGGATGGATGCTCCTAAGTTTGATGGATTTGCTGCTCGCACGATTGTCCATTGGCTGTTAGCCATGGAACAATGTGGCGTAGCGCAGCTCATCGAGGACGACAGCCAAATGGTGTCGTACGCTATGTCGCATTTGCGGGGTAAAGCCTCAGAGTGGGCTTACTCAGCGCTTTTGGCGGACAGTAAAGCGTTTGGGTCATGGGCGATCTTTAAGACAAAGATTCGCGCCATGTATTAGCCGCCGAACAACGAAGTGTTGCTTCAGGCGCGCTTCTATAGTACGCGACAGGCTCAGCGATCTTTGCAAGATTACGTGCAAGAGATGCGCTCGCTGTCGGCGCCAATTAGTGCGGGTCCGATACCGGAACACATTAAGGTACTCACCTTCCTAAATAAATTGAGGCATGGCATAAGTCGACAGGCCCTATTTCGAAAGGTGCCGTCGACTATGGAAGAAGCAATAGAGATCGCTTTGTTTAAGGAGCAATCCTACAACAGCGCATCGGTAGCGCCGTGGAAAAAGCCGGCAACCGAGCGGTCTTCACCCACTCCAATGGAGTTGTGTAATGCAGATGTAGTGTGCTACAAATGCGGCAAGCGCGGCCATGTAATGGCTCGCTGCTATGCCAAAGTAGCTGCTAGCGCGAAAGCGACTAGCAAGAAGAATCCCTACCCGAAAGGTGGTGTAAGGGACCCACGTGCAAGACGCACGGGGCCTGCACCGACCAAACTGGGTCCGGGAAATGTGGAAGCTCAGAAGGGGCGGGATGGCCTACTGACGCGAACTATGAAGCTACCCCTAAGTTCAGAGTTGTCGAACAAATGGGTAGCATAGTCCTAGAGGAATCGATACATCGATCCTCAACACTGCTGGTTTATAGCGCTCATGTAAGAGGCTATAGCCAGGTGATGACCCTTCTCGTTGATCCGGGTGCGTCACAGAACCTTGTGAAGCTCGAGGCTCTAGAACAAAATCCGCAGAGCTATGTTGCACTTTGCCAGGATGGCAAGCGCGAAGAAGCGACCGTACGTTTAGCGAACGGCGCTTTAGTTAATTCTGAGGGAGTTCAAGTTGAACTCGCCTTCAATTTTAGTGACTTTTCTTGTAAAGAGAAGTTCACAGTGCTAGGAATGGAGAGTCCTTACGACCTCATCCTAGGCATGCCTTGGTTGGTAAGACACCAACCTTGGATAGACTGGCGTACACACACAGTCGCTAGCTCTACGCAAAACACCGGAATGGATGTGCTCTTACGAGAGGCTAACGTAGCTGATGCAGTGTCAAGCACAGTTAAAGGGGCGTTGATAGTAAATCATACGAACCCTAGGCCTAACCAGCTCGAAGAGACTGGAAGAGTGCCTGGAACGATGACGAGACGTCATGCGTTACATAGTCCTGCCCAGAGCCAAGAGCTTGTAGCAGTGGAGTGAGAGCTGACTATAAGTCAAGCGTCGCAAGGACCGACACAGAGGCAGATGTCTGGTGCGGTCGGAAGGGATACGTTAGCTGAAATAGCAACGATACCCTCCGCCAAGTCAAAACAGGTCGTGGTGACGCGTAAAACGTCCACCATTCGAATCACGAGGACGATCAAAGGCACGTCGAAAAGAGTGACCTTTGGATCAGTCCCGATCCAAGAAGACGGACCTACGAACGAGGTGTTCGAGGCCGTAGAAGACAAGATGCCGGATGCATCCTCTAACGAGGTGCTCCAGCATGTCTTAGGATCTGCCGAAGAGATAGTAAATCTCTCGGAGATGTCGTGGGATCTATTCCTATCCGAGTTAAAGGAAGGAAAGATCCACAAAGTAGTCGTACCAGTCCCCACAGTAAACGTGGCGGACTGTTGCTCATCGTCCACGATGGATGAGAGCGCCTTGGAGACCGACAAAGAAAAACGGTACGCTGCTTAAGGCTGGGATGTCTTGAGAAACAGCCCGTTCTATGAAGTTCCGTGGAAACACCGTAAAGTGTTCCCAGAAGAAGTGCCGAGCCGCCTACCTGCTGATAGGGGCATCAGGCACGAGATTGACTTGGAACCTGGCACCAAGTATTGTGTGACCAGGCAGTGGCCGTTGCCAAAGGAACAGGTCGATTACATCGACGAGTTTTTCGACAAACGAGCCAAGGCGGGACATGTACGTGAGAGCGAATCGCCTCACTGCAGCCCGACCTTTTGTGTGCGCAAGGCAACAATGGGTAGGCGCGTGGTTCACGATTACAATAAGCTGAACACGGCCACTATTCCTGCGCAAACACCGATCCCGCGGAAGGATGTCCTGTTATATTCAATGGGAACGTCAACTATCTTTTTCGCGTTGGATCTAAAGGATGGCTACTATCAGGTGCTCATGAATGAGACCGATGAAGCCAAGACAGCGGTTAGCACCCCAAGCGGTATGCTGTGGGAGTGGCTAGTGAGGCCGCAAGGGTTGAAAAACGCACCGGCGACATTCAACCGAGTGGTAGCTCATGTGATGCGTCAGCACCGTGCCTACGCGCCCACTATTTTGACGATGTATTCGTTCATAGTAGGGGCGAGGACGGTCTGAGCGAGATAGAGTCGCACAAGCGTCATTTAGACGCTGTGTTGCAGACTCTGGGTGATGCCCAATTGTACGTCAACTTAAAGAAGTGCGTCATAGGGGTCTCCGAGATACCTGTGCTGGGCTGCATCGTGGGTAAACACGGTGTAAGGGCAAACCCAGAAAGGTAAAGGCTATTAAGGAATGGCCAGTCCCACGTCATGTGAAGGATCTGCGCCAAATCCTTGGGCTTGCTAATTACTTGCATAAATACAGCAAGAATTATGCAGAGCGAACGAAGCCTCTGTCTGATCTCCTTAAAAAGGAAACAGATTGGGAATGGTCGCAAAAACAATTAGATGCGTTCACTTCTGTTAAGCAATCTCTTGTTGAGGCGCCGGTCTTGGCATTGCCAGAGTCTGACAAGCCCTTTAGTGTCATCTGCGATGCGAGTAACTTCGCCATCGGCAGCGCACTAATGCAGACGGATGATGACGGTATTGACCGTGTCATCTCGTATCAGTCCCGGCTATTGAAAGCCGCGGAACTGGATTACCCTGTGCATGACAAGGATCTACTTTCAATTAAGTATGCTCTTGTTAAGTTTCGAGTGCACCTATTGGGCACCGAACCGTTTGTGCTTTACACGGATCACGCATCACTGCGGACCGCGGTAAACTCACCGCATCTCTCACCTAGAATGGCGAGATGGCTTACATTCTTCTCCGAATTTTAATTTTCACGTAGAATATAAGCCGGGTAAGTCGAATGTCTTGGCTGACGCGTTATCGCGCAGACCAGACTTCGAACAACGACACCAAGAGAGTGTGTCACATGCTAAAGTACGTGTTGAGTCGTCCGCATTGGCAACCATACGGGTTGACCACGTGACGAGCTCATTAGCCTCCGAGATTAAGGAGAGCTATCAGCAGGACGCACATTGTCGTCTGCTTTTGGGTCACTTTGGTGGACGAAAGGTTACCCTTCCGTCGCACCTGAAAGCGACATAAAGTCGCTTTAGTTTTAGTGGTGGCCTGTTATGGCATCAACTGTCACCATGTGATCCCTTGAGGATCTAATTCTCCCATGACATCGACCTCAAGATGAAGATTCTCAACGAGCACCATGATGCACCATCGAGTGATCATCTGTGTAACGGGGCACACCCTTGCGTAACTAAACGCAAGGGTTTTGAGTGCCCCGACAGACGTACACGTGGCAAGCGAGGAAGCGTAGGTAGGGTAAAAGTAGAACTGTTATATTAATAAATTAAGTCTTTAAACTACTGTCTCTTCGTTTGACTTAATTCAATTATACTAATAAAACTGAGTGTATGGTGACGTCTCGTCACCACTCATTGCGCGCGTCTTGCGGCGATTGGTGGGTTGATATCATCACGATATCAACTAATGAACAGACCCTCTGGTCGACCCTTCAATATCACCACTTTGGTGATATTGTTTTAAAGAATATCCATCTTTATATTCTTTATTGTCACTTTCCTTAAAGTGACAATTTCATGTAACGGGCTGCCCCGTTACATCACCCCCCTTAACTGATAGTCACCGTGTGACTATCGAAAACATGGAGGCCACCCGTTGGCCACCATTGGGACAGGGAGCACTTGTTGGGTCCGTTCCATTCACTTTCCGCTTGACCTCGCATAGTTAACATGTCTATGCGAGGTGACTCAAGACCCACACAGCCTGGTGCTGTGCAAGCCTTTGCGGCAGACGCTTCGTCGTCTGCCGCCCCTTCTTCGCCTGCAGCAACAGGTGCTGCAGGTGCACGCGGTATCACACCGCGTGCGCTCGATGACCCTGATGTAGAGGTCATCTACTCTGGCGAGTCAGACGTGTCTGACTCGGGCAATGCTCCAGAGGCGTCTCGCTCACCGGCGACGCCTCAGTATTCGCCAAGACCACTGCCGAACGAACGGACTCGTGATTTGCATCACAGTCTGCTCGGTAGTGATGACGATGATCAGGGTGGAGAGGCATATTACTCCTTACCACCGCCGGCTCGTGCCTCTTCGCTCGAGCGTGATGACGATGGCGTGAGCCGTCGTCAATCTGGGAGCCGTGGTACCAACACAGGTATCACTGTGAAGCCTGATGATCCGAAGCCGTGGCGTTTGTCCGAACGGATCAACAATAGCTTGTCTCACGAGACAAGCCAACACCATCGAATACCCTTATTCGATGCGATTAAGCTTCACGGCTTGAGTTCCAGCAGGATGAAATTTCGCGCTGAACAAGACTTCTTTCTCGATTTTTTCTTAAGGCATCGATGGTAAAATGCTTACCAAAAGCGTGACAAAGCCTCGCTTTTGGCTGCGTGGAACGCGTTCGTCCAAAACGTAAAGAATTTTGGACGAGAAGGATGGCTCAAGAAACTTTAGGCGACACGCCTCAGGTTCGAAAGACGAACGCCAACCGGTGCAAGGTACCGGCTTAATCGTTTGTCAAGTGAGGCAGACCTTCCTTGCCTCACATGGGGAGACCCTTGTGCGAGTTGTGTTGACAACTTGCAGCGTGCACATAGGGACGTGTATTCCCTAAGTTAGCCCTGGGGAAGGGCACACATCTCGGCTGAGATGCGTGACGCGATTGCAAACTTGCAATCCGTCTACAAGCGCCTAGAGCGCGTGTTTACCGATGGGCCACAGGACTCATCGGATGGGTCTCGTCATACTGGCGGACGAGACCTTCAACATCCATCAACAGCTGAGATCGGGGCTCCCAGCTGTTCCAAGAGGGTGGATACCCCTGCCACTGGACGAGGTAGCTCGTCCTTGATCCTGAATCGTCACGGTGATTCAAGATACGCTCCACTAGAAAGCGTTGATCACCGTGGGCATCCACCAAAGGATGTGGTGGAGGAGGAAAGACCTCCTCCAGATGATTCTGTTCACCATCTCGACCCTTACGAGATGGATCGCGCAATCGATGAATTGCGCGATGACTTGAAGCACGATCGCGACCGGCGCTACGCTTTGACTGATACCGTGCGGAAGAACCGCAAGGGTCACGAGGCTGATCGGGCGAGGGATCGCGCCGATTATGCCACGGCGCAGCTTCAGGTCGAGCGGGATGTCTGCTCCCTATTCGGCGAGCTGGCGACAGCTCGCGGGGAGATATCTCGGTTGAATACCGAGGTATCATATCTGCGCGACCAGACGGATCGTCTGGAGCGCGAACGCAAGAACTTGATGGATGTTCTTGAACGTGGGGGCTATCTTCATCGGAAGAAGAAGGCTCGTACTGACAGTACGGCCTGAGCCTCCCCACGTGAAACGTAGGATGCGCACGCATCCTACGTGGCAATTCGAGTGTGTATGCATTGCCCTTGCGATGCAACACTCGAAATGGCCCAATGTATTTCGGAAGTAGTTTACTACTGCCGACACTAGTGACTGCATGTCCAGTAAGTTTACCGTAGACAGTAATACTAGGTCGTTAACCTTAAATGAAAGAACATTTGCTATTCCATTCTTGTCTGCATTCCGTTTCTGACGGTCCACCGCACTTTCGATCGACTCCTGGACAGAACGGACTACCGCCTCTCGAGTCAGCAGGAAGTTCTCTGCTACTTCTTTGTTTTGTCTTTCAGTGCGCTTCGTGCGCACTGCTAAGAGATTGTTCTCTTCTTCAGCGAGGTTGTCTTCTTCCTCGCTGGCATAATCGTTGACGTTGCTGAATATACCAGCATCGTCATCATCATCCGAGTCAATAATAGCGTCTTCGCTATTATTGAGATGATCTTCTTCATCGATGTCGACTTGATCGACATCGGCATCATACGTGACGACGTTTGCGTCGACACGTGATGAGCAAGAGCCAAAACGGTTTTTGTTCGAGCGAGTCCCTCCCCCCTTATCCAAGAGTTACACTCTATAAGGGTGGGCACTCGTGGATGGCGTAGGCCATTCACGTAAAACGGTGTGTGCTGTGTTGAAGCATGCACCGAATTATTGATGGCGAATTCCACCATGGGTGGAAATTCGCTCCAACTCGGAAACGAGTGGACATATCGTCGAAGGATATCTTCGAGGACACGGTTCGCACGTTCCGTCTGATCATCTGTTTCTGGATGGTCAGAAGTGGACATCTTCAATCGTGTTCCGAGAGTATGGAACACGGTTTGCCAAAATGTCGCCGTGAACCGAGGGTCACGGTCGGATACGAGTTCACGGGGTAGCCCGTGGAGTCTAAAGGACGTGTAGAGAAAGACACGAGCACAACCTTGATCCTTGATCAACTCAGGGACAGCAGCAAGATGGACCATCTTGCTGAATTTGTCTACAAACACAAGAATACCATTATTCTTGTGAGCGTCTTCGGGAAACCCGAAGACGAAGTCCATTGAAACGGACTGCCAGCACTCTG